CAGAAAGCTCTTCTCGCCCACCATGAACTGCAATGAAAAGGATATCACCAATGGACTGAAATACCCCTGAATTTCTCCCAAATTAGCATTATTTACGGGAAACCCATCGCTGGGTTTCCCGTAAACCCAGGCCCTACTCGTTACGGGAAACCCTCATATTTAACAACTCTTTTTTTTTTTTTGGGGTAATTAAGTGGGAACACAGGCCCTACTCATTGCGATGACTATTGTGCATTAGATGTAAAAATAGATGGCTTGGGTTGACGTTTGAGGGTTTTTTTTTTTTTTGAAATGGATTGCTTGTGTTGAAGTTTGAGATCTTTTTTTTTATTTGAACTTTGAATTTAATCAATGACACGCTCCAGTCACCAAAATTAAAATATGACAGACAATAGGGATTGTAACTTCTTTCTACTAAAAGTAGGGGTGACAATGGACCCGATGGGTATACCGAACCTCAAGTTCGGGTAAGGATCCAAATTTGGATCCGAATACTATTCAGGTTTGGGTTTAGGTCCAGCCGCACCTGAATTGTACATGTAGTCATCGGGTATATGATGCCAATCATGTGTCTTTAGGCACGATCTAGGTGTTCATATTGTCACAATATTGGTAATATTTACAATATTATTGACAAAAAAAAAAAATATCCCCATAATCATAGGGTATATGATCGTAAAAAAAGAAAGCAAAAAACAAAACTCATAATCATAGGGTGGCAAAAACCTTGAGATTCGAAGGGTCCAAGTATGGGTTCAAATTTTAGATCCAAATACCATTCGGGTTCAAGTCTGGTTCCAACCGTACCCGACCTTTTGCCACACCTAACTAAAAGCAAATAGCCTTGCAGTATAAAATCCCTTATATAGGGATTATGTACTACAATAATATTTACCATTGTTACAAGGATGTTACAATCCCTACTAGTAATTAGATGTCAAATTAGATAGTTTGGATTGTGCCGTAAAGTTTGAGTTTTTTTTTTTTTAACGTTGAATTTAGTGAATGATACAGTAGCCCCACCCAATTTAAAATATGACAGACAAGAGTGATGTGACCTCTTTGTACTAAAAGTAGATGGTATTGTAGTGTAAAATCCCTTATATATATATATATATATATATTGGGAAATGTTTTTATACTTCTCCTACAGCTTAGACGAACTATCCTCCCCCTACCATCCAACTGTCCAATTTTGATCAAGAGAGCTACTCACCGTTTGATCTTAGATCTGACATCTCAAAGTATTTTATTTTTAGTTTTTTTTTATACAAATTGTATGAATATGAAATTTGGTACGTGTCATCTTCTCATTGGGGCACACTTATAAAAAATATTAAAAATAATTTTCGATAAAATATAATGATCAAAATACCTTTTGAAGCTTTCAAAGGTATTTTGGTTCAAAAGGTATTTTGGTCATTTTTATTTTATTGAAAATATGTTTTTTTATATTTTTTTGGTAGTGCGAGTTTAATAGAGGATTGGACATCCAAAATGGTATCAAAATAGTTTATAGAAAAAAAAATTAAAAATAAAATAGAATAAAGACGTGACATTGATTGGGGCAATCTTAGCCCTCCATTCAGAATGGACTTTTGGATAAGGAGAAGTATATAATTTTTATGATGTAGGGGAACCATAGAAGGCTTGCCCATATATGTATTTGCTATCTTTATATAAAAAGAGCGAAGATGCTTTCAGAGGGAACATATTCCTCAGACCATATAGTGTGCTCCCTATGGAACACACTATAGGCTTCCACCAAAAAAAGAAGAAGAGATTTTTGAGTTCCTAAACACTTAAGATGATGTTGTTCTTTAGGCATATAATGAGTGTACGTGATTTTATTTTATTTTTATTTTCTATTTTTCAATTGTTATCTATTTTTTTAATCAAATTTCACATACCCCATCAACAACTGACACATCAGTATAGGTTTTAAAATATAGTGAAATAAACCTAAAGTAAAATGTTAAATAATTCAAATGATAAGTATAATTTGATAAATCTCTTCTTTTTTTTCCTTATTTTTTAGGTTGAAGAGGTTAAATTCCAATTTTCGTGATCCTAAAACTACTCTATATAAGGTTTTAGTTGACTAGTGGGTTATCCCCATCGGCTCCCACTAGAGCATAAAATATTTTTACAATGCTTGGTGACGTCATAAGAAAGGGTGCGGTTTGTATAAAGCTAAGGCTCTAAACAATCAAAGTAAAGCACATCTTGAAATAGTGTCAAGAAATGTGTTTTCAATACTGGAAATCTTTATAATATAGCCTTAAAATATATTTTCATATTTAATTATAAAATTTAAAGCTTCAAAAAACTTGAAAATCTTAAAAATTGACAATTTGAAAACAACCCGAATGTCAAGATGATCAATTTGAGGATATTTGAGCATCAAAATAACTTCTAGTGAAATTTTTGAGATGGCCTCTAATTTTATTGTTCCGAGCCTCGGCTCTATATGATCTTCTTCCATCTAGAAATGTAACCAAAAAGAGGTATTGGTGGTAACCTCAAACCCTAATGAGAAATCCTAAAATAGAAACTTGAATAATATTTTAAGAAAACTAGTATTCACAAGCGTGACCTTTCACGTGGGGTACTCTCATAAATAGCAAATATGTTGCAGTCGCACAAAATAACTACTAAGAAACAAAGATTCTCAACCGTTTTGAAACGATTTGACAACACTCCGAGCACACCTGCTAAGCAAAAGATGCCACGGTTTGTTATTCTTCTCATTGGCTCTATTAGAGAGAGTATACGGCCGGTTTCACTAGCATCCAAGGTCCGATTTCCAAAACTTAAGCATGCAGGTCCAATAAGGACCATCTCAAAAATAAGAAAGGTCACGGTGAGGCTCAGGATAATGTACAGGGCTGGAATCAGGTTGGGTCGGATGGACCCTATCTGAGTCCGGGTCTGGGTTCATGTGTTGAACTCGGTAGATGGGGTCCAGTCAGAGTCCAAGTAACTTGGACCCGATCAGGTCAGGTATAGGTCCAGGTTTGGCTCGAACCCTATAGGGTCAAATCAACCTGACCCAGTATAAAATATATACATAAAATAATTTTTCATTTTTTCAAACTCTTAGACTTATTTTGAGGTCGGGTATAAACTTGGTATGGATCCAAGATTTGGATCCAACAGGTCGGATCCACAGCCGAAATTTGGATCCAAATAGTATTTCGAATCATATCTGGGTACAGGTGATCATATCTACATTAGACCCCATTTATTAATATATTATTTATTATTTTATGTATAGCCAAATATTTTATGTAGTAGTTTCTGTTATATATATATATAAATAAATAATAGTATATAAAATATTTTTTTAGATTCGATAATGTTCGGATCCGGATACCATATATACTTTTTGGATCCAGATTGAGATCCGAGTTTTCTAGATCCAATCAGATACTAATCTAAATCTGGATCCCATGTATACTTTTTGGATTCAAATCCGAATCCTAGTGGATTCGAACCTGATCCGACCCATTCTTAACCCTAGTCGGGTATGGGTCTAAATGACTTGGACCCCACCCAGGTCTAGGCTGGGTCTAGGTCCATGTGAAACCTAGTGGGGTCGGATCAGTGTCGAGGTCGACTCAAACCAGACCCGTCCCGTTGCCACCCCTAATTATGTAGGGTTGTGAAATAGTTTGGGGCATGCAGTTGGTTTCTTGGGTTGGGGCCAGTTTCAGCCCGGGGTGGGGCCACATGATTTGGCTAACGGTCCACTTTGGGCTAGGCTTGAAATATTTCTGGGCCAGGCTAGCCTAGTGCTGGCCAATCCGAAATTTTGTTATCATATTACATATAATAAATTATAAAGGGACCACTCTGGGCACGCTCTAGATTGGGCTCTAGCATAGTTATCATGACTTTGAGCAGGGCCTAGGCTTAGCCTGAACCCAGCCGTTAACGGCCCTAGATTAAAGATTAAAAGTAATGTCACACCACAAATCTCACACAAATTTCCAGTCCAATTTTGAAAAATCCTCAAGTTAATCATTTCAATATTGACAATTAATTTGAAAAAAAAATAGATTTCAAGCCTTAAAAATAATGTACTATAAGCATAATACTTAGACTAACTATTTTTAAGAGTTCATAGATCCACCAAATATGAACCTTCATCAGAGCTTCAAATTTCATAATCGAAGGCGACAATAGATTCAAGCCATTGTAAGGATTTCCAGTACCAGAATTACATTTCTAGTGAGTCTTTAAGGTGAGGTGTCGCTTTACTTTTTATTAGGACTAGCAATGGGACTCAGCTTGACCCTAAAAAACTAGGCATGAGTCACAAAATGTGGCCTGATTCCAGGGCATGGCCAAGCCACTATGG